GAGAGAGAGAGAGAGAGAGAGAGAGAGAGAGAGAGAGAGAGAGAGAGGGGAAAATAAAATGCACAGATGCCAGAGAGAGAGAGATAAAGGAGGTTTTAAAGGAGCCGGTGACAGTGAAACCAGTTTATTGCATGAATGATAGAAAGAGAAGGGGGAAAAAGGAGTTAGGCTTTAAAGCAGTAGTATTGCAGACCGTCAGATATACAACATGGAGACCAATGACACGGGACAGGTAATGACTGGGAACCAGGGTTTATGTTGCCGTGGTAACGGTTACCACGGTTACCCGGAGGAATCGGAGGAAGTCCCCCCCAACTAATGAGATGATGCAATGATGATGTAAAACATAACCGTAAATGGACATAGTTTGAATCTAGAACTCAACAGTGACTTTGTTTTGATACTGAACCAATGACAAGCAATCAAAAGAAAAAATCACAACTTAACTGAATAACAATTAGGTATTCAGTGTGATAATCAGCGAATAATAAAAACAAAAATGTAGATTATCTAACAGCAAACTATTTCATTAACCATTACCAGAGTTAATTGAAACAGCAACTGACTGACTTCCACAAAAACAGCCATTTTGTCAGGCAAACAGTTGAACGGAAGATGTCAATAAAGTTGCTGTAAAGTACACCATATTGTAAGGACAATAACAAGGCATCATGCAATTACAAATGAATTTACAACAGCTACAGTCATGGATGGATTGTGAGGCAATGGGCCCCTGAGCACCCCCCTTCCCAGACTGAACAAACGCACATCAACAAATGATGTTGTGCCTCTTTCAACAACATTGAAAAACTCTGAAGCTGAACTTCAGTATTTAGTTCACTCTGGAGACGAAGAACCTCACTATACTAAATGAAGGAAACCATCAAAGAAAGCCGAAGATGCAAGACATATTTTCTTCAAGCATTGATTTAAATAAATTTACTGATGTAACTGTACTTTAATGAAATGTTACTGAAGCATCAGAATCATGTGTTAGAGTTGTATACTGGATTTGGTTAACAGACAGTGAATATAAAAATACTATGATCAGGATGAGAAGCAAGAAACAACAGTCACCTCATGCTGGGGCTCTGGCCCCCTGACCCCTTGGCCTGTGCTCTGTAAACCCGTTATGTAATCCATCCATGGCTACAGCACAGTGTGTGAGGGAATACCAGCATATGAAAATATGTTGCAGACATTTCACAAAAAATATTTCCATTTCTGTTGCATGTCTGTAACATGATTGGATTCCCTTCACTGTACACACTATTCATGCAGCATGACATATCAGTTACATTCTTTTACCTGACATGAGTTCAGCACCGGGGGCAGCAGGAGCAGCAGCGGCTGTGGCATCTCCTCCTGTGGACTCTGGCAGGTCAAATCAAAATATACCATACCATGCCAGGTCAAAGTAGGATGATGAGCCATTCCCATCGCAGCATAAGGGCAAAGAAGGGGTAATAGTCAGCCTTCGGCTTCACGCTGGTAATGCCAAACAAAGTGCTTAGAGTTAGATTGGAAGGCTGAACACAAAAGTCCATGTATATTTCAACAAACCAGGAAACTTTGCTTCAAGAATTTCAGACACACACTCAAATGAACACGTCTCCCATAACGCCGTATTCATTTGACAGTCGCAGTAAAGAATCCATGTGCATTTTCAAACAAGGAAAGTAAAAAAAAAAACATTTGTAGCTTTCAGTTTATAAATAAATTGACTATTTCAACATGATCAAGCTTCATCTCAGGCATCTGCTTGTAATACTTTCATGATTGACTCATAAAGAAGAATTCCCATTGTTCCAACATGTATGTGAGTTTCAACACAAATGTACAACATAACTACCCGGTATTTCTGACCATTGATGAAGCCTTATATCAATATTAGTTGTTTAATCTGATCTTCCCCAGATTCTACTCCTCTTCTCTGCTGATGCATTCATGAACGGGGGAGGCAGAGTGAGGCCAGGCAGTCATGTGAGTTACCCACCACCAAACAGGTTCATGATGGCTCCCGTGTCAATTTTGGCCGGGGGTGCAGAGCAGAGGATGGGGGCAGGGGAGCTGTATACATCCGCTGGGGAGGTGGAGACGGTGTTTAGAGCCCAAACACACTCTCACACAAATACACACAAACCATTGACTGATTATAATGCATGTTATCAATTGCAACCACAGTGCACGCAGTACATGCTGGAATGGGAAAGTAGGTAAGAGTGAAACATTTCCTTCAGCTCAAAAGCTTTTAGCTGACCCGTTAGAGAGCCATCTCATTTCCTTTTCTTCCCCTTTCCTAATCAAAGCCAAGGACAAAGCTGAGAAACAGACACGGCAGGACAGGATATGAGAGGGAGAGTGCATGAGAGACAGCAGGAGTAGGTGCAATAGGGTACCTGCTGTAAACAAGTCAACACTGGGGGGGGGGTCTGCTTTGGTGAAGCTCGTGTCTGGCATGGAATCAAAGAGATCTAGGAACACATGCGCACCCAGAGACAGGAATATTAAAACGCTCAAACACTTTAAAAATGGTGAGGATGCTCTGACTCACGCACAGCAGCCAACTGAAAAAGGCCTTCAATATGTGCACATTAGTCTGATGACACCAATGAAGAAGAACAAAAGCGAGAAGAAGATGGGGAAATCAGGAGGATGCTAATCAATATGAATGAGAGCACTTAAGAGGCTCTTAAGATTAATACCGGAGCACACACATCTCTAACATTTACCGCTGAAAAGGTCAGTCGCAGGGTTGGCGGCGCTGGGAGCTGAAATGGTTGCGATGGTGGTGATGGCGCTGGATGCAGAGGTGAAGAGCGGTGAAGGGGAAGGGGAGGGCGGAGGCCGGGGCACCACAGAGCTAAAACAGGCATCCAGCGAACTACCCAGATTATTATTCTCCACTGTCATCATGCCGAAAAGGTCTAGACCTGAAGATGCTGCGTTGGTGCTGCCGTCCGGGGGAGCAAAGGGGTCTTTTTGGGGAAGAAGTGGGGTGGGGGGGGGTGAGGAAGAAATGTAACACGTGAACAGGAAGGGAGGATGTTAGTCAGTGACTTTCATACAGCGCAGAACAGACACGTTTTATGTGATGATGATGATGAAAATACTGCTGTAAACATGAAAGTTGAGGAGAAAAAGAATCTGAGAGAAATTAAAGGAGAGAATGTGCAGAGCTCCAACACACTCCTGGTGTTAGTGGAAAATAGCATCTGTGATGGAAAAAATGAGAAACAAATGGAGTGAATATAAAACACCTTCACAGTGTATTAACCAGCTGCAACCTAACTACAACTAAAACCAAAGGACTGCCACGACCTTCTCCATAACACAAAATGCACATATAAGATGCCAAAAAGACAAGAGACAAGTAAGACCATTGTCCTCGATCGCCATCATAACAACAATACTGTCCAGACACCAGCAGCAATGAACAGCAAATCTGTATGCCTGCTGTCCCCACACAACGCCTTGGGACGAAACCCTGAATACAACTTGAGACCAACCAGAAGTTCACACATACACGCCGACACAAACAGGTCTGTTTAAACATCTGTACATTCACAGTCATTGCACTCAAACCAGTGGTGGAAAAAGTATTCAGATCCTTTATTAAAATGATCCGCGTTTAGGATTGTGGGGGATTTATTGCCAGAAACTGAATATAACAGGCTATTCATAAGTATTTTTGCATTAGTGCATCACCTGTTTATATCTACATCAGGTCCTCTTCACAGAGTCTGCCATTTTGCACCACCATGTTTCTACAGTAGCCCAGAACGAACAAACCAAACACTGACTCTAGAGGGGGCCTTTTACGGTTTTTAGGTTACCTGAAGGCCACCGTAGGTTATCCGACACACTTGGAAAGGGAGGAGTGAGTGGATGGGTATTCATTTGGTTGCAATTTGCAGCCTCAAGCGGTAGATGCCACTAAATAGACTGCTCTTTTAAGTAAAAGGAGCACTACAGCAATGTAGAAATATTCCATTATGAGACCTATTTTAAGTAGTAAAGTTGGATGCAATTGCCTTGGCTTGCAAACATGAAATCCTGTATATTGGGTTATGAGTCTGTGTAAGACTTCAGCATAACACTGGGACACTAAGGTAGGGGGGGACCCCCGATTGCTACTGGGTTTTTCACACTGATGATAATCATATTTTCTACTATATTTCCTAATTTTTAAGCGATTACGGGAAAGCAATATCCATTTAGTTATTTATTTTTAAATTCTCAATACTTTACAAAATATTTGGAGAAATTTAATTTCACATTTAAATCAAACAAATATATATGTATATGTCCGCAAAAATTCTGTCAACTGTGTTACTAACAGAATATCCCCCTGTCACAAAACAATGGTTTGTCCCGAAACCATGTGACCATGTTTCTCTCAGTGGCGGCCATTTTGAATACATTCTGGTGAGCATCCTCTGATTTTGATCTGTAATAGTGTATTGTGAAAGAGTGACGGCCTATTAAATTACTATGTTGGGTACATGTATGTGGTTTACAATTCTTTCATGATTCTTTTACATTTTCTTTTCATATAGAAAACATGGGAATAAAGAAACAGCCGTGTAGAGCTAATTCAATTGCTGATACTTTGTATACTTACAGTATACACTACTGTCCTGAGTTACTTTACACCACTGACTCAAACTTACTCACACAAACAGACACACAGACAAACTTTCTGTCACCCACCAGCTCCAGCGTTGGCAGCAGGGGCGGACGTGGCGGCGGCCCCACCTTCAGCGGCTGCTGCAGAGGCCTCGGTGGCAGGAGCAGGTGTTGTAAAGGCATCTGGGGTTCACACAAACCCCAGCAGAGGACAGAGATGCCCAGAGAGACAGAGACAGATGAAGAGGTAAAGATGAAAAGAGAAAATCAGGAGACAAGAAACATGAGGAGGAAAAGAGAGCATGAGGAAAATAAAGGTACGCTTTGAGCATTATCAGCACTTGTTGTGACGCTAAGTTTTCAACTGTAAAACATGGTAGCTTGCTGCATTGATATAGGACATTAATGACTGACAGGTGAATGGACAAATGGGAATACAGACAGGAGGCACTACAGCAAGGGTTAATCTACTAAACCTGAAATCTACAAATGTTACAGCTGCCACCTGTATCTGTAGCCACGTGACAGGGTTTGATAGAATTGCTTTTCACTGAGATCAAAGAAAAGCATGTCTGCCTATCAAACAAGACGCATGTGGAGAATGAATGTAGCAGTATGTTTACGTGCAAGCCGAAGCCATAATGCAGAAATGTCTGTGAGTGTGTGGAGTATTTGTGCAGTATTGTGTGTGTGTGTGTGTGTGTGTGTGTGTGTGTCTGTGTGCAAAAGAGAAAATGAGATTGTTTGTTTCTGTATATTATCATCCTGCATGATCTATTTGGTATGGAGGCCCAAAGCGGTCATTATTAGATAAATAAATTATTATAAAATAAAATAATCAGATGAATACATTGTGTAAAACTAATGAATGGACCGGTAATTTATGACATAAAATACATTTACAAAATGTATTGTTTTCATACTACAGTTTTATGCCCTTTTTCAAAATGTGTTTTCATTTCATGAAGTCACTTTTACCAATGGCACTTTGATTTCACACTGAATTCTATTTCATCATTTTCAGAATCTTGAAACTGAAGAACTGCTACCAATTTTTACTAATTTAGCCGGTTAGTTCTATTGATAATGGGAGCAGCTAGCAGGTTATTTCACAGTTAACCACTTCAGTGTTTTGATTCTAAGGATGTTCCCCAAGGAAAGACACACAACTACAGTGTTGAGCAGAGAGCAAAAAGAGCAGTCCGGCTAACTGGAGCTAGCTAACACAGTTAATCTTCACTTTGATGCTGAGTAATGATTAAAGTAAATAGAATATGCAGCCTTGTTGTGTGAAATAAAAAGGAATTAAGGAATCACAGTATCCTATGGAAAGTTTTTCATGCCTTTTCCTACGAAAGCCAGAAACACGTGTCAATTTCCGCTGAAAAGGAACTTCCGTTTTCACAGGAAAGTCAGTTAGGTTTAGGCAAGAATAATACGAAAAGATCGTTGTTTGGATTAGAACGCTTTCGATTGTTGGACCCATCCACCTCCCCTCCTGCCCTCTTTATACCTCTTCGTTCAAGATTACGTGGATAAAATAAAAATTTCTCATTATTTTTCGTAGCTATCGCTACGAATGCTGGATGAGACCAGCCTGAAGTAATTGTGTTTATTTACAGCAGCAGACTCCAGTTTGTTAATTCCAAATAACTGTAATGTTGTTGTTGCTCCAGCTAATGGGAGCTAACCGGCTAAATCTGGTAGCAGTTGTAGAGGCTGGAGGCATGTGATTGTCTCAAAGGTGAAGGAGCGGGTTATTGTCAACAACACTTTCACAAAAAAGTCACATTATGAAATGAATTGTGACATCGGATAAACATCTGTTAATATATTTCAAAATAGTTTTACACAATTGTTTCATATGCTTATTTGTTTCAGAATGATTTATGTATTTTACATTCAATTCTTTTTCAGGCATACTAGGCAGTTGATAGCTGAAAAGGATGGAGGTGTGCTTCAATGCATCATCAAGACCTGACTATATTGATGATGCAACTTTGTTAGCAGAATACAGACAATATCAGTGATAAATCAGCAAGGTTCTGTCTACATACTGTGTGTGTTTGAGCATGCGGTCGTCTTTGTGTTATCATATTTGTGTGGTGGTTTTAGGGTTGAGCTTCCCAGAGTGATTCTTTCGTAGAGAATTTTCTGGAAGCCCACTGACCTCCCAACAGATCCATATTGGCGGCGCCAGGGGAGGTGGAGGCTGCTGTGCTAGTGGGAGGAGCTAGAGAGACTCCCGGTTCTGCCGCTGCAGGAGTGGGCGTTGCTGCTGCTGAGGAGGGGTTGGGCTCTGCTGTGAGGGTGGGTTCAGATAGCAAGGAATCGCCCATTTCTGCGAGTACCAACGGGGTGTTCGAAATCCCCAAAGAAAGGTACCAAAATAAACCCCAAAAGAGCAACCAAAATAACCAGTTGAGTCACCGTTGAACAGTGAACAAAAGCAATCCAAAACAAAGGTCCAATTCAAATGAAAGCCAATTAAGACATTTTGGAGTTGACCAAGCAAAGCAAAATCCAAATTTTAACCAAATTAAAGTTAAATTATCCAACACCATTCGGTCATAACCAACAAATAAAAAAACAACCAACCAAAAAAGCCCCCGTTGTAAACCAAAAACAGACAATGGAGTATGTGCAGGGAAGGGAGAGAGAAGGCAGAGAGAAACAAAGACACTACTCAGACTAAAGAGAACAGCTTGAGGAGACAAACAGGGACATTTGTACATAATAGTCTATCTATAGGCCTATGTTCAATTTTGATTAAAACATTAATATTGTTTCCAGGTCACCTCAATTTGAGTTTGTTCAGAAAGAAAGTCAATGACATTGAGGTGTCATGGATGAGGATTTAAGAAGACACCAGGCTAGACAAGAGGCTGGAGATGAAGTGGAAAGTAGAGTGACGCTCACCTGATCCAAGAAGATCTATGGAAGCAAAAAGCAAAGAGAGCAAGGGAAATACATGTTAGGTCATACCCGCGCTAAAACCGATTTTGACAGTTTATTAAAGAAAACAGATTACTTATATAGTGGCTTGATATACTGTTATATAATGCTAGAATGTGGATTTGCATTCTTTCAGATGAACCAGCAGCTGAGTTTACAGGAAGGAGGATGACTTACCTCCCCAAGACGTGGGGGCAGCTGATTGTCCTGAGGGACCCGAGGAGGACAGTGGGTCCAGGTCCAACAAGGAACTGGAGAATGAGGTCGAAACAGAGAGCGAATGACATTTAGTTCATCGTCCTTTACAGAAGGTAATTCTTTTACATTTGCTCTTTGCAAAAATAAGTTAATGTTACTGTTATCAGACACTAACATGACTAAATGTCTTTGACCATTCAGTGAGGCTGTTAACATTGATTGTTAATCACTGTAGCAAATTTCATGGCAATCAATCCAACAGTTGAAATGTGTCGACCTCATGGCGCTCAACGAAAAGTCATGGGATCACCAAAGTCAGCGGGATTCATCCGCTGGGAACCATGAATGCAAGCTAAATGATAGTTGTTGAAATATTTCTGTCCGGACCAAAGTGGTGGACCAACCAACCGGCATTAACATGCCTAGAGCCACAATGCTAGTATGACTAAAAATAAGACTTTGTAGGGTTTATCAAATACTCCCAAGGCCAAATAACCGCTGCAAAATGAGCTCTTAAGCCCAGTTTTCAAAGTTTGCAACAACCATTTATTAACAAACGTTCAGAATCATAAAAAGGCAGAGAAGAGAGAAGAGTTCACAGAGTTTACTGGCACTCACTCTTCAGCTGGCTCAGCAGCAGCAGCAGCAGCGGCAGCACTCTCCCCAGGAGGAGGCTGCAGCACTGGAACAGCGTTTGAAGATTTGGCTGGAGTCGATGTTGGAGACACATTGTTCGTCGGAGACCCCTGAAAGATAGACAGGGAAGCCCCATTTTCAGTGGTGCATCAGACTGGAAGAACTCAATAAAGATATGGACTGTTTTGAATGTGCGCCTCACCTTTGTTGGAGACCTGAAAGAGTGAGAGAGTAGAAGGAGTCGTTAGTTCTTGAGATTGAAACAGACAAATCTCCTGGACACAGAGGGAAAATTATTTAATGGGTCTATTTTTAAAGGTAAAAAAAAATAAATAATAATAATATTTAGAACAAATATGTGGTCATATGAATAGTTGTTTACATACTCTAATTGTTGTAATCAATTTAACTTTGGAAAATAAAAACTTTATATTCTAATTCACATTGCATGTCTGGATGTGATGAAACACAACTTACTGTTCATCAAAACATGCGGTTCTCACATGTAATCACATCAATACACACATTTCCACAACTTAGTTAGTGGTGGTGTAGTTATGTTTCAATTCACATGAAGATCACCTACATACTGTAATTCACATGTGAATGATATGTAAGTTTATACCGGAGGGGGTGGGGGAAGTGACAGTAAAATAATTCTACACAGTTTTCTAAGAGGTTAGTAAACTTCAAACAAAACATGCAGAAATTGCTCACCCTTCACTGTTGATTCCAAATGAACATAAAGGGGGGTAAAAGAGAGGAAGGGTTAAAGGAAATTGTAGAATTATAGCACTTGTTTTGTTTCTACCAACATTTATCTTGGTTAAGAGGGAGTTTCTCAGATCTCAAAGTATTTCACTTCAGTTCTTTTGTTATCATAATTCTTCTAATCTCCACACAGTGTCATAAGAAGCACCCAAACTGAAATTGTCTTACCCCTTCTTTCCACCCTTCACATCTTCCAAGCCATTCATGTGTGTTTCCAGACTCTCCAGGATACTGCTGGGAGCCTGAAAAAAAACAAAAGTAGAGTAATTAATACATAACATTTTCCACTTGTCTCCTACATCGCGGTGTCAGGCTGTGCAAGTCCAGATATTGAAAAAAGAAGAAAGTGGTAAAAAATGAGAGCGACAAATCCCACTGCAATACCCACATATGCATGTACAAACACACACACTCGTGATTTGTGTCTGAAATTCAATTAGGATCAACATGCCGACACTTCATCCTGTAAACAGGCACTCAGACAGGGCACCCTGTGTTTCTGTGGTTACCGGGTCCTCGAGAGGTGTAAAAGGACAGTCTTCGTCATCCGAGTCCGCTAGATCCACTACTACCCCCGGGTGGAGACACTGGGGTGGGGAGATTTATGGTGGGTGAGTCGTGGGTGTTTCTGTGTGTGTTTGGGGTGGGATGAGTGGTATTCATGTGCATTACATTCTTGGTCGCACCAGATAGATAGATAGATAGAGAGATGTGTTATAACTCACGTAGTTGATGTCAGGAATGTCGTTTTTGTCAACTCCGATTGTCTGTTGAAGGAAGAAGAGTTTAAAATCTGCATTGCCAAACTTTACAGTCCCCACACTGCTTTGTCATGACGTGTGTGCATCCCTATGAAGGTGGTTTTAAGTGCTATTACCTCGGCCAGCTTCATGAATTCCCCAATCTTTGTCACTCTGGTCAGGAACCTCTTGTAGATCTCCAAGGCCTCCTTACAGTCACTCTTCTTCATCTTGAAGTATTTCTCTGCCAAACAAAAGTTTTGCACATTCAGATTCTTTGCGCCGTACGTTTACAACTTCGAAATGCCAAGTGAAAGATACTCCTGGACTACTGACCTAATAGGTTGATGACTCCGTCGTTGTAGGACGCAAACAGTTTGACCAGGTCCTTGAACATGATCAGGAATGCAGCATTGATGATCCCATTGTTAAGCTCCTTGGGATGAACCTGAGGAAAAGGGAGAGAGCATGTGAGAATTGGAAGGCCTGGGAAAAACCTCTGTCTGGTGTTCAGATATCAAGCCAAAGTCTGACTCACATCAAACTCCAGGAGTGTGTCAATCTGAGTCTGCAGAACAGGCATGCCTTTCAACAGCTTCTCAGTGGTCATGGTCCTCATCACACCCTCAGCACTGAAAGAATACTACAGTGTTAGATGCTTCACAGGGATGAGAGCAGCCATTGGACATAGCACAATCAATTTTTAAAAAGCCTGGACGGTAGAAAGTAGAGGAATGAGTAAGCAAAGGCCTATAAGCACAACATCTCTGAACTCCATGTTCGACTCACCCTTTCTTGACTCTGGTGAAATCAAAAGCCATCTGGCGGTAGGCGAAGGCTTTCTCGTTCAGGTATCGTCCATACCGTCTGATGAATGTCGACATATCATAGCCTAAACGGGAAATTTATGCCAGAAAGCAGACAGGGTTCATTATTTTTGCTTTTTCTGCTAGAAAAAAATCTGAAAATGAATTGGTGTTCGTTTTCGATATTAAAAAGATTTCATAATTTTTTCGCTTCACTTTCTCTTCAGCTTTCCTCGGCACGAAAAGAAACAGTGGCTTCTTGCAGCAGGTAATGTAAGACTTTTTCACAACACAAGAAGACAAAATCTCGGTAAAAATCACTTTCAACTAATCTGTTCAGAGAAAATCCTAAAAAAAACAACGAGCCTTAAAAGCTGAAAACGAATACTAAAAATGCATGAAATGTCGTGAAATTCAGCCAAAACCATTAAGAACTGCAAATCTGTGACAACAAAATTTATCGATTTACATCGATAAATACTTTGCAGTTAACAGCACACAGCTGCCTTGTTGCAAATTTCTTCTTTTATCCCACATGGTCATGACAACATTTCAAACACAAAGGGAATCTTTGGGATAAAACAAGCCCTTTGTTATGTTCTTTAGCACATCTTAATTTAGGTTGTAGATTAAATTTCTCATATATTTGTCAAAGAAAAAAAACAAAAAAATCCAGGGCATGTGCTTACTAAGAATGTAAAATAAAAAAACATGGTAATAAAATGTATGAATATGAGAGCCCAAATAAACATGAAACATTAGACATTTGAGACAGAAATTCCAGCATCTGTTTGCATGCATGTGTGAATGAGTTTGAGTGTGCGATCATGTCTAGTACCTCCCTATGTATTCGCCAGACGGCTTTCATTGTGTTTATCTCTTCCTGTTGTGTTTTTTTTTGCCAGATACTGTGATATTTTTCTTACCGTGAGCGCCGGTTTTGTCGATAAAGTTGCTGAGGTTAAACAGAGAGGTCCTGGAAGCCAAGTACTGAATGAATCTCTGAGGAAGAGAAAGAAAACATGATAAACATTAAACCATTGTCAAGGTAAATGGAGGAAAGAGATGAAGTCAAAGCTAAACACAACAACAAAACACATTAACACCTGTTTTAAATGGAATTTCACTGTGTCACATAGCAGCATTTACAGATCTAAATCCATGGATGATTGCTCAACCACTGAACCCACAGGGTCGTTACTTTGAGGAATTGTGGTCAAGGCCTATACTTGTCTAGCTCGCCTCAGCACCACGCACAAGTCAATTATCAAGACATTTATAATACATTTGAACTGGGAGATGAATTGGCAAATCCATTCAGTCATTTCCATCATTTATTCCCAAAAACCCCTCCAACAATTACATCATTTGTATTCATCTCTGTGGATTTCAGCTTGAACTGAATTGCAACAGATGTAGTTGTTCTTCCTGGGTCTAACCTCATTGCCGTGGACACACATGTGATGACTGGTGACCAGGGCCTTGAAGACGACCACCCAGCTGGCATTGGTGGCTCGCTCAAACAGCGTGTCAGCCATCTGAGGGATGTTCACGTTGGTGGTGTTGGTGGCTGACACCAGGTCTGCAACACATCCACAAAGAAACATTATTATCATTGACATCGTGTGAAAATTGGAGGTCTGATGACATGAAGTAGGTTTCTAGAAGTGGAAATTGCATACAAGGTGGCACGTAAGAAGAGAGCCACTGGTGGTTTAGTCTTAGACAAATGCCAACACAATCTGAACAGCTCTGATTAAACTTTCATTAAGTGGGCAGGCTCAGTGTTCACTGCAGAGCTGCTCTAGACACCCATGAGAATATTAAGCCAGGAGAAAGACCTGATGTACATACGAAATGATGTTGGTGCAGGAGCCCACACACACACACAAAGCACACGCACACTGACAACGCAAAAAGACAGAATAATGCCTTGTCAGCTCCCCTCCCTGGATGCCAGACACTCAGACTGACAGAGAGGGTTCCAACAGTGTCCAGACCATTGCATCAGTACAAGGTGAAATATAAGTATTTTCTACCAAACTCTCGTCCTCCTCTCGAGGTTGAAGAAATGTACTTCTCTGGGTCAAACACGTCATTGCGGACAGTGACTAACCTCTCATTTCTTAGTATGTATAGTGTAATTATAAGTATGTATAACATACTTCATATGAGGCATCAAAAGTTACTACAAGGAGTTTGTAACTGGTTATGAAACGGTCTCAATTGAACACTGATGCCTCTATATGACGTACATAAGTAAACAAGACCATCAGCAAGAAGATTGGTTATTTCTATAGTTATTCTTAATGCCTGTTGCCGAGTCCGATTCTCCGCGAAATCAGAGGAAGCGATTTACAGGACGCAGACCAGAGGAGCCAATGATTACATTTTCACAGGCATAGCTTCACAATGAGTCTTATGTTAGCCAGATAAAAGGAAGCAGGAGGAGATTTTTCTCTTGGGAACTTATTTTTTTACGCTACATTTTGTGGTTATGGCTGATAATGGCTGTAATAATGAGCAATGATGACTAACATGCACCAGGCAAGTTGCGTCTCTCTTTCACTCGCCTTCAAAACAAATGTACAGGCTAACCGGATCAAGTTCTTTGTGACACGAGGCTGCGATGCTAATTGGGAAATGCAGCCTTCATCCTAGGAAAACACTGCTTCTGTCCACAGAGGCCGCCAAAATCAACACAAAACAGCAGTTTCTTGTAGTTGCTTTAACGATTATTTAATGTAATTATTATTTAACCTATGTTGTTTGAGCTTAATCTGTTATTTCTATTTACTAATTGGTCTAAAAAGTAAGAAAACTCCAGTCCAAAACCAAAAGATATTCAATTTATATCATATAAGACAAAGAGGAGCAGCAAATCCTCACATTTAAGAAGCCGGAACCAGACGAGGTTTCGGATTTTTACCTGAAAAAGGACGTAAAACAACTTTATTTATTAAAATAGCTGCCAATTAAATTCCTGTCATTTAATCAATTCAATAATTTACGTATTGTTTTCAGCTCCATACTACAGTATATACACAGTTTTGCGTACCTAATTTGCAACATGCAAGCTGCAATTTGTAACATTAGGTGATTTATTTTCTATCATTTTGACTCTTTTCTTTTTGCCATATAAATCCCGCTCAGTATATTTCTGGAAAAAGAAACAGGCATTTGCTGCAACCATTGCAATCTGCATGTGAGCAGGCCCCTGACTTCAATAGATAATCATCACATCTAACATTTGATTTATTCTTTGTCTGGTGTGGGAGTTTCTTCTTAGAGAGAGGGAGAAAGAGGCAGGCTGACAGATGGCCACAGAAAAAGCCATGCAAATATAAAGAGACCGAGAGGATTTGGTCCTTTAGAAACAAAAGGATGGATGATATTTTACTAATGAGGTATATTGCAGAATGTTTGCCAATCATGCAGCACTACTAGAGGCCCTGAAACATGTTTGACATGCCTGACACAAATAAATACAGGGGCACATATTGCATTTGTTGAGGGCACAGTAAAAAAATAACACCATCTATTTTTTAGTCCATCCCCCTGACATTGACAGCTGAGCAACAAGGGCAGGTCTGAGTGTATCCATACCGAGTGCCAAAGAGAGGAATGCAGCAAATATTGGCAGGCACCTCTGATAATGGAAGATGGGGAAGGCCGTTATATTGAACGGGCCTTGGCCTTGCCTTGAGTAGGTGGATACCAAACTGTAGTCCAAAAATACAGCAAAAGGGGCGGGGCAAGAGAGACGCAGGAAAGAAGAGAAAGTCTGTTGAGGAGCACTACTGTACACAAGAACGTGTAAGAAATGAAGAGTTGGAGCAGCGAGGCTGTTCAAGGAAATAACAGGCTGGCAGGTTGGACAGAGAGGTTGGGGGTTGGGGTGGCTGGAGGGGTCGTAAACAGATTATTGCTAATCACTGGTCCTGGTCTTTCTACGGTTGTTGTCTCACTGCCCATCCCCCATACAGCTCACATACATACACACCTGTCTTGGCACCACCTGTTTCGCACAATGCTCACCATCTAACACGTCTCGGCTTATCGTCACCAGTGCCGTCAGTCAGTGTGATGATTCCGGTTTATTTAATTATCTTCCTAGCTCAAAATGTAGCAGACAATATCAGCGTGAAGAGCCCTACATTAGCGCTTTTATTTCATCCTCTACTTGAGAGTTTTCTTATTTTTTCCCCCCTCATTTAGCTTAACTTCTCTGTGAAATAGCTGAAGATTACATCTCCCTGCAGCCTTTTCAAATGACACACACACACACACACACACACACACGCATAGAGACATGGTCCACAATGGCGGAAATATGATTATGTAACATTATCATGTCCCTGGCACAGCTACAAGTTAATATTCATACTAGCACGATGAACACGGCGCTATCCACTACCATTCTCAGACTATCAGCTCATAATACCCAATAATAACTATGCATGTATGTTATTATATCTGTTTACTGTTGTTTAACGGGCCTATCTTATATAGTGGTATAATCCACGCTTTCTGTTTATAGTATCACACCTGAAACGAACACATACTGACTTACAAGTGTGTGTGTGTCTAATGAGGATTGACTGAGCTAAATAAAGACTCTAGACGGTAATCCACGGCCCACAGGAGAGCTCTAAGAATGAACTGAGGCCTCATACTCTGCGAGTGTATGCATGTGTCTTTATCTAGTCTGGGTCTGCGGTAATCGTTTTTTATAATTGCTAAACAAACCACTCTCGTGGTAGCTGGAATATTCCGGTTAAAATGATACAGAACTCACTCATTACCAGTGACAACAACAGTGAACACCAATTAGTCTCACATTGATGACATGAAGACATCAAGAAATGATATTTTTACACAAGATGCAACGTGTTGATTGGTGAGCTTTAGAGGTTCTGGTTTGTGGATTTGCTGTTTCCAGTCTTTATGCTAAGCTAAGCTAACCAGCTGCTGGCTGTAAATTCATATTTACCAGACATATAAGAGAGTGGTATGGTCTTCGCATCTCTTAGCAAGAAAGCGAGTAAGAGTAAATTTCCAAAAAGATGAACTATTCCTTTTAGGTCCTGCAACTAATTTAATTTGTCTAGACATCCAGAGATGCTAGCTGTGGCTCCAATAAAAGAGTCTCACACGTACACACCATACTGTAGACAGGACACATGATCTAACTACACTCGTGTACATGTGGTCATTAGCTTCCCGTACATTCGGTGCATTAATTCCGCTCCTCTAAATAGCTATTTCTACGTGACCTGTCTATTTACAACATAACCTCAGATTAATTTAAACCCACTGCCTTTGGTGTTGAGTGAACTCTGCTTTGTTGACCTTGCATGGACCACATGTTCTCTAGAAATGTGTAACACACACCCTCCAGTGTTCCTTTCACTATCCACTGTTTGACACAGTAGATAGCCGCAGTCTGGTATGGCATGGAATATGAAATTGAAAAGCAAGAAATAACACACCTTTGACACCGCAGTTTCATCCCCTGAGCTGTGGGCCCCATATAGCAAGAAATCAAATGCAGGCATCAAAGCCACAAAAAAAAAGATGTTGGCTCTCCATACAAAGGAAAGTCCTGCACATACATATTACCTTTGCAACCTTTATTTTGTAGGTGAATCATGTGTCAAAAGGCACCTGTGACACACTCTCATTCACATCAACCACATCAGGCTGTTCATCGTTCACGTTTTGCCACATACGATCAGAAGAGTAATTGCCCTTTGTCCTCCTGAAAATGCATCTTATACATATTCATGTTGACCCGCACTGAGACACCTTTACAAATACAATCAGTGTATTGGTTCTAGTTAAAGAGGTATACAGTCATTATGATTGTCTCTCCATATTAGAGATGACAGGCCGGCCATTTGTCCTCTTTCTTCTCACAATTGCCCTCCGTCATTATAGTGCCTTCCCCTAACACTCTCAATCTGTTGCCATCGCAACTCCACTGAACCACCACCGCCGCCTCCGACGACATACACACGCCCAGCCCAAGGGTCAGTAACTGGGTTGGTGTCACAATGGAAAACAGCGTAACCTCATAGATTAGAAAACCCATATATGTGTTTCCTGTGTAATCTATTTGTAGCTGTATCGTCTCATACATAACGTGTATAAGAATATTTCCACGTGGCTTGAGTGTGTGTGGTAAGTAGAGGCGGTCTCCTGTAGTTTGGACAAAGAAGTCATGGCTTGTGACAGTTTGCTCAACAGTCCAAATCTGAACAGTCAAAAGTTAAAGCCACACAGAAAACAAACACACGGGACACAATAGAGAGTGAGGAAGCAATGGTCTCTGGTGCATTGCTAGCATTAGCATTGTCACCTTTGGCTGTGTAAATAATGCAAGGCAGTCATTGGCTGATTATTAAATTATTCAGCAGGGGAGCGGATCACAAGATATAAGGTCCCTACCCCAAGACACAGGACCAGACCTGGCCAGCGACCACACAGACACAGACGGACACAAAAAGACAAGACATGAAGAACCGTTCAGACCACCCGTCATCTGTATGCAGTGCCACGCCACTGCTTTGGTCTGACTCACTATTTGTGTAAGATGACAGTGATTAATCACAAACTGTCATAAGGTGGCCCCTGCTGTCATCTGGAGATGTGTCAATAAAGCTGAGATTTGATCATGTTATTCAGCTGTGACTTTATAGCCTAAGCTCACTGATAGACTATGTGCAACCCAAATAGGTCTCTTTGCATTTTCAGACAACATTATCTTGAAATTTACATTTTAATTTATGTGTAACACTTACACTTCCTTCGTTATCCAGACCTGCAGGTCTTCAGCAGTTAAGGGAAGTGGTTTTGCAGGAGCACAGCAAAGGGGAATTAAATGGTCTTGTTCTGAGGATGACTTGTCATTCTGCCTTAAAATGTGACCTTTTCTCCCTCCCCTTCACCCACTCTCCCTTTCTCTCTCCGTGGGTTTCCATCACCCTTACTGGAGGCTGACACAATAGGTCACTAGAGGGGTTACCGCCTTATGGCACCACACCCATTTAGGCTAAGAGAATTAACAAATGACTGGCCATGATTATACGCCTGTGGTGGCATGTGGTCTTAGTGGATGCGGTGTGTTATAGGCTAGGCCCTGTAAGGCCAGCCCATGCGGTAGGAAAGAGGAAGAAGGACTACACTTACACTCCAGGTGCTTTTTCTTGGGCGCCATCACTTCATGAGTGGTGGCTTTGCAGACAGCCCGGGCCATATCTGATCCCGTTAGCTGGTATTGCGCAGCGGCGATGCGATCCGTGAGGGTTTGCCCCGACATTTTCTCTCCGTTGAATCGACCACCTCAGGAATGTATGTCGCCACAGGACGATGAAAAAAAAAATGTATGAATGTATCCCGGCTGCTTCCCGGTGGTTCAGTGAGCGAATCCCGTGCGTTCCTCTTCCCCGATTGATACAGGCCTGTGACCTTCTGTGTGGGCGAAGAAAAGCACACAAAAGGAGCTCAAACGCCACTACATAAACATTATTTTCGCATCAAATGGCGCGGTCACGTTGATAATATGCGCGGTGAGATGAGTAGACTTACGCAAGGTTGTGAATTCCCCTCGACTCGTCCAGGCTCCAACCGTTCCGTTCAGCACCTTGGACAGCTAATGCCACTCGATTATGTAACACTCAACTGGCAATGAAAGCTATTTTCTCAGCCCGCAGCAATTATTAAAAAAATAATGAAATAGGCCAATGAAAAAATTGCGGTGCAAGCGAGGCTCCTCGGAGTGTCCAAAAAATATTCTTGGGAAATGACGGAATGTAAATCAACACTCCATAGGTCGGTCAAATATCCCGTTTGGAGGGGGCATCAGGTTTGGCTGTCTTTCCTCCCGAGTCAGTGCATGAATAAAATGCTTTCAAAATAAGAGAAGAACCGTTATTTCCTCATTGGTTTTCAGATTGAGGTGTTTGCGTGTTGGGCCACTCGTCAGATCGACAGAAAATGCGCACCGCTCCCCGGTGGTGTCGCCAACACTGCGCAGTGCAAGATGCTCAGGAAGAGGAAAAGACAGAAGGGAATTTCCTTTTTTCTCCTCCCCCCTGTCGTTTGTTGATTTATTTGGTCTAGCTATACGTCCTAGACTCAACTCCACCAGCGGGTTCTTGGACAGGGTTGGATGACACACGTCGCATCCCACATCTCTTAAAGGGGAGTCAATAGGCTCGTTCGAGTTGAACTGCGCCTCGCCTGGAAAGCAGACGAGAGCAGGCGGACGTAGAAAGGGGCGTTGACAAAAAACTGCGTTCAAATCGGACCGTTTTCAGCCGCCTGCTTCTTCTTCTTCTTTCTTTTTTTTTTGGCGGTTGGCAAACAGCTTTCGGGTGCATTACCGCCTCCCACTAATCTGGAGTGTGGACTAAGGACTCCAATACGACAACCAAACGAAAAGAAATACATATACATATATACACTCACATACATACATATGTCTAGATCAATGATATTTTCCTCTCCAATCTCTCTTAGACCTTTTTTCAAAACTTCTCTCGCTGACTCGTACCTCTGACAGGACAATAAAACATGGTCCACGGTTTCTTCTTCTCCACAAAATTTACACTTTCCATTATTATGCTTTCTAATAACATAGAGGGAACTGTTAAGACCAGTATGTCCATTCCTTAGTCTTGTCATAATTGTCTTCTCTTTTCTAGTTTGTCCACTAGATCCTGCCCTCCCAACCAATGGTTTATTTTTAAACAGATATCTTCCTTTACTCCCTTTATTCGTTCTGACATATCTTTTTGATTTGTCCCTTAATCACCACTTTAGCTTCTGACTTACTTATATTTACATTAACGTTATTTTTCCCACTCTTCAAAGCCCTTTTTGCTGCTTCATCCGCCTTCTCATTGCCATCGACTCCAACGTTGACCCACACTAAATGAACCGCTATCCTCATTTGATCGATTCTTAAAAATGATTGTAGAATTTCAAACAGTAAATCCTCTCTGCTTCTGGAGTGGCAACATGTCAAACTCGTTAGGACTGCACGAGTCTGATGCAATTACCACTCTCTCTGGCCTGACGTCCTCTACCCACTGTAACGCAATAACTATATGGCCATCATCTCACATGCAAACACAGATACCTCATCACTGAGTCTCTTCCCACACTCTAAATGGAATTCTGGGATTACTGCTGCTGCTGCTGTTCTACCAGTTTTAGGGTCTTTAGATCCATAAATCTGTATTTAATTGTGGTAACTGATGTACGACTTGAAGATCTTACAGTTTCCCCAACGTTATCTCTCATCAGTTCAAGGAGGCCAAGATCTATTCCAGGCTGTGGCAGTAACCAAAGAGGAACAGCTGGACCACAGCTGGAGAATAACTCCTATAACCTAATTCACTAGCCTTCTTCTGAACAACCCAACCAAAGCTCTTTGTTGGCCTGTTGTCATGTTCCCAGCATGGCTCAATTGCACTTATTGTTGGATGGTTGTTATGTCCTTGTAAACTGACCCAATATGTCATCATGATCTGGATTCTTCTCAACTCCAACGGCATTTCCCCCATTTCTACCTGCAATGCCGGCACAGATGTTGTTTTAAAGACCCCACTACATAATCTTGACGCTTGTATTACATCCAGTTTTCCCAACAAGGTTTTAGACGCCGACCTATATTCCACACAGCCATAGTCTAGAACTGATCTTGGCTAAGTGGAGCGCAGGGCCGTCCTTCAATCAGAGGAGCGGCAGTTTGTTCCCCGGCTCCGCTAGGAGCATGTCGATGTGTCCTTGAGCAAGACACTTAACCCTAAAATTGCTGGTCTTTAAGTTTGGATGTCTTTTTATATATTTAACTATGTTATTATTATAATTGCAGATATACGATTGGGCATATTTTAGTTCTTGGATGTCATATTTATTTCAACATTTATATAAATAAATATATGTGAAGATAGCGTCATTTCTAAATCATACAACTGTAAATTTAAGAAATTTAAAAACTGAGCCAACTGTCCAAACATCACAGCTACATAAACAGGCTCCACACGGAGGAAAAGCAACGCTGCAAGTTTCCATCAGTGACAATTGTGCTTTTCTTTTAACATGTTTTGTGATGCTTCACAATCATTAATCGATGGACACATTCCAGTGCTCTGACTGAAAAAATGTTGACATCAAGTACGATGTAGGCTTTCTCAATAAATATCTTTATTTACAGATGCTAAATAAGTAACCTTATATATTATTATTGTTATTGCACAAAATGAGACTAATAGCCAACAATCTAGCATTAAGTATTACAATTAGACAGAAAATTTGGATTTTGTTATACTATATTTATCCTGTTAATTAAGGATAAACTTGACTCTGCATTTGACCCATCCCCATATATGGGGAGCAGTGGGATGTCTTTGACAGGCGACGCGTCAAAGCGCAAGGTTCGAAGAGCCAACCTTGTGGTCACCAGACAACCCTCTTAACCCAGTGAGCCACGGTCACCCACCTTTTCCACTAAAAAAAATCTAAGAGCCAATCAGCTCTTTGATCCGAAGACAGCAAGAAGTTTCCCATCATGCCCTGGGGTCATGCAGTCGGTGGAGAGCAATTCTGCATAGCCTGGCTCTCACGTGAGATCATCGTTACGCACGTTTTCACGACAGAGTAAGTCGGACGCAAATCTACCCAGCATGAATTGTGCGCCTATCGCCGGTGATCGATTCTGCGCACGCCTGGCTCAAGTCGAACGAGCCTACTATAAGAAACGTAAGGGTTAATATACGAGCGTGACTGTGGCTTATTTGCTGCTGCATGTAGGCTATGCACCAGGTTTGCACGTACAGCGTGCAAAATGACAGATGATGAAGGTAAAACATTTTCTGTAAGATATAATCAGACCATATAATTGCCTAAATATACTATGGCAGCCTATAGATCTGGGTCTAACCGGGAAAGGCACGGCGTACGTACGTGCGTGACGTGCATCACGTGACTTACACTGTAGCCACGTCGTCAGCCGGAAAAACAGGAAGTGTTTCATTGCTGACGCTAAACTGCTGAACACCCACAAAACTAAACAGTAAGGGAATTAAAAACAACTTATTGCTCTTTCATTTGTAACTTCGGGTGGTCTCTTATGTTCAGCGCTGGAAGCCCCAGTGTTTGCTGTCTGTTAATGTATTTCAAGTTCGTTAATGTAAATGTAAGTAAGTCTCAGTCAATTGTTACGATTCAGTTGCTCTATTTAGTAAGCGACAGACTGACGCCCTAATTTACTGCAAACTTTGCCCTCCTCTTGCCCTTTGACATGTTGTATAAAAGCTTATCTTAGGCGTTGATTTCAGCCTGCGTTTTAAAGACATGTTCGTTATGTTTCAATGAATCTAAAAAGGCTCAAAAGATGTTTTCAGTCTATTATCTATATGAAAAAAGTTCAAATGAATCCAGCCCAACCAGCTATAACATAACAAGTACTTCTACTTTTGATACTTTCCATGACAATAACTCTGCACTGTAAATTAAGCAAGCGTTTGATTGTTTTATTTTTGCATTGTTGTAGTGGACCTTATTACTTCTTCCACCACTGTCTGGTCTGTTTATGTCTTTATTATGTGTTTCAGAGATGGCCCAGTTTCAGGAAGTGTCAAAGCAGTCTGGTCTGCACCCTAAGCCTGCAGGGTTGGTTTTGCAGTATGGTACTGCTGGTTTTAGGACCAATGCGAAATTACTGGACCACATTATGTTCAGGATGGGACTATTGGCCACCTTACGCTCCAAAAAGACCAAAGCCACCATTGGAGTCATGGTCACCGCATCACACAACCCTGAGGTGAGAAAGACATGCAGAAATATTAACGTGTCTTTGGGTCTTGCTATAGGTCTATGATTTAGTTTGTATTGTGTGTGGATATTTTAGATTATTGGTTTTATATTCCAATCATTATATTGTTTATTTAACCTTTCTTTTCATATTCTTAATTGAAAATTGTCAGGTTCAACCTCTCTCTATCTCTTGGCTAATTTCATGTGATCTTACCAGAATAAACAATCCTATAAACACATCACAACCCTAAACGTCCTCCTGTGTCTCTCTTGATATCTGTACTTGTGTAGGAGGACAACGGGGTGAAGCTGGTTGACCCCATGGGGGAGATGGTGACACCGACATGGGAGGGCTACGCCACCCAGCTGGCCAACGCCGAGCAGGAAGACTTGCTCGCTGCTCTGAAGGACATTATAGAGAAGGAGGCTATAAAAATGAGCCAGGAGGCGAACGTGTTTGTGGGCAAAGACACCAGGTATCTGATCTTCTTCGTTTGGATTTCTTAGATACACCTAGGCCAACCAAGTAACAATGCAGAAAGCTAAACTAACTCACATATTTATGACTTTTTATGCCTCTTAGTTTTGACAGACAGCTAACTATTTAAAACACACACGTGTCATCTAACTATAGAAGCAGCAGTGTGAGCCTTTCAGAGGCAGTATTGGATGGGGTATCTGCACTCGGTGGTCAAAGCAAAGGTGGGGTTAATTAAACTTGTTTGTCCTCATATTAAACTTGTTTGTTTCCTGACTTAGTTTTATTATTTGCTCTTTATCTGCCCTCTGACTCTCTCATCTGATTCCATCAGACTATGGTTTGGTGACCACCCCGCAGCTCCACTACATGGTTTGCTGTCAGAACACTCAGGGTAAATATGGAGAAGCCACAGTGGAGGGATACTATAAGAAACTCTGCCAAGCTTTCATTCAGCTCACAAAGAATGTAAGAAAACATTATTCAAGCCCTGTACATTTGAGTGTGTGTGGTTTTTGCAATACATCCATCCATCCATGCAGGAATCAGCCATTTCTCCGTACCTCCATCTTTTTCTCTCTGGTAGGCGTCCAATTGTACAGACGACCAGAAGCACCTCTCTGTGGACGGCGCTAATGGCATTGGGGCCCTAAAGGTGCGTGAGATGGAGAGTCACCTGAAGAGGGAGCTGCACCTATCGCTGTTCAACGACGGCAGTACCGGAAAGCTTAACCACCAGTGTGGGGCTGACTTCGTCAAAGTGCAGCAAAGACCTCCAACAGGTGCGACTGTGCTTTCTAGACTTGTCAGAAGAAGCAATATAAATTCATATTATTTGTCAAAAAAAGAAAATATTTTTCATTTACTTACTAAATATAGTATCATAAATAGAGTGACAACAAAACAGTAGATGTTCATATAATATCATAGATGCAATATTTGACCACTAGATGGAGACTGTTTATCACAAATTGCTAAAATAATTACTATAAATTCTGGTCTTACACTCGCAGTTACACTCTTAATATGACATCTTTGCCAAGTTATGTGTCCCTGTAGATGCAGCTTTTGTTAGAGAAGGGCCAAATAAACGTATTTAACCAAGAGAAAACTTGAACATCAGAAAGATGGGTGCTGTTTTCAATTATCTCTCTCTCTCTCTCGCCTCTTCTCTCTCTTTGTAAAGGCATGAAGATGAACTCGGGGGAGCGCTGCTGTTCCTTTGACGGTGACGCTGATCGAATAGTTTACTACTACACTGACTCTGAGGGACAGTTTCACCTGCTGGATGGAGATAAAGCGGCTACTCTCATCAGCACTTTTCTTAAAGAGCTGCTCACACAGGTATACTCACAAATGCAAACCCGTCAAGGATAAATAAGCACAAATGTACACAAACCTATAATAAATAGTTTGTTTCTGTTCATACAGGCTGGTCTAGACTTGGAGATAGCAGTGGTGCAAACTGCTTATGCTAATGGAAGCTCAACAAACTATTTGGAAGACACTATGAAGGTGAGAAAACACAAGTGGGAATCTTTTATTTCTTTTTTATATGAGTAAGTTCACACATTTTCGTGTGACTTAGGTGATCGTGAGGTGTACTAAAACTGGAGTGAAGCACCTTCATCATGCAGCCAAGGAGTTTGATATCGGTGTGTACTTCGAGGCCAACGGTCATGGAACTGTGAGTAGATCAGCCACACTTAAACAGATCACGTCAATCCCTAAGCTAGCACAGTATTACAACACATCCATCAATAAATGTGTCTTATGAATCTGAACATGGTGTAATGTGTTGTGGCATGATGTGTTTGTGTTGCTGTCAGGTGTTGTTCAGTAAGGCAGCTGAAGAGAAGATCCAGCAGCTAGCTGAGGACTCCAACACCAACGACGAGAGGAAGAGAGCAGCTCTCCTGCTGCAGAACACTGTCAACGTCATCAACCAGGTGGACACGCACATAAAACACATTTCACTCGACCGTTAAAGCAAACGCAGCAGTATTATTAAAGTCACTCCCAGTTCTGATGTGCTACTCTGTGTTTTTATCTTCTACAGACTGTAGGTGATGCCATTTCTGACATGCTGCTGATCGAAGCCATACTAGCCATCAAGGGTATGACTATCCAGCAGTGGGACTCCATCTACAAAGACCTGCCAAACAGGCAACTCAAAGTCAAGGTACTCATGCGTTGATGTACAACATTTCTGATAGCAAATCCCGTGGGGAAATTGTGTCTTTGCCCCCTTCGAAGTGCAGATGCTGCTACAAAACAGGCCTTAAAAAGTCTAGTTTTAAATTTTATTGGATGAATTATATGTGAAAATATTCTACCTAGATTAAAAAGTATGCCTCAGTTCTCTCTCTCCATCCTTGTACTTGAGAGCTGCTTCAGCTGCAGTTTTAAAATTACAGCTTTGTTGTGATTTCTTGACTTGACAAGTTCGTGAGCATGAAATTAGGCCTCTTTTCTGGTTTTGATCAGCAGCAGGTTTTACCCAAACATGATATCCATTATGAGTCCTCCAATTTCACCATCACAGCCTTTATTATTATCAATAAAAAAGTACTTCAATTCGATATACATGTGACTGAAGTAGCCCTTGACTTGGTAGGGTGTCAGTGTCTTGCTCAAGAACACTTTCAAAGACTCCAGGAGAGCAGAGTTGTTACTTTAAGCACTTTTACAGTTTTGTACATACTCTGTTCTCCTATCTGTGCCACTTATTCATGGATGTACTGTGCATAAAAAGTCATAAACAGCTGTATCTGGGCTTTATTTTATTTTTTTCTGCAGGTGTCGGACCGCAGGGTGATAGACACCACAGACGCAGAGAGACGGGCAGTGAGCCCAACAGGACTTCAGGAGGCCGTCGACAGTTTAGTGAAGAAGTACAGTCAGGCTCGCTCCTTCGTGAGACCCTCTGGCACCGAGGACGTGGTGAGAGTTTACGCCGAGGCAGAAACACAGGTGAGACTTCCTTTTTGGTTCTCTTTTGGACATTTTCCCGTCCTCTTGCTTCTTTTGTCCTGTGATACAAACCGGTATTGTGTCTGTGTTTTAGGAGAGCGCTGATGCCCTTGCACACGAAGTCAGCCTTGCGGTTTATCGTCTTGCCGGGGGAGTGGGCGGGGAACCCAAACCATTGCACTAGATACACTTACGCACCGTCACACAACACTGACTAATCAATCTGTGCTTCTTTAATGCAATCCAACGTAAGTTGTAATTTATCAAAATTGTTTCTGTTTGGTGAGTTGCCAAATAGTTTTATACAGTTAATTGCACTTGGTACTTTACTCTAGTTCACTCTATTTCTTTGTATTTATCTGTCATTGGGGCACACATGGGGAGACAATGAAGGGGTTTTATGCTACTTTAAGTAGTGCTTCTCATGTAATGTCATTGTGTTTCAAACAGGCTGCTACGTGCCTGTAAATATGGGTTTCTATGTAATATAAATATGCTGCTTTACCTTATATATGCCATAGTTAAAACATAAATTGTCATTACAAACAAATTTAGAAAGTCTTAACTTTTGGTTAATATGTAACTTTGTACTAAATGGAATCTTTTTGACCGGTTACTCTATGTAATTTATTTGAAATAACAAGTTTACACGAGGGAGTTGTAGCGATTGGTCTTGTCCGTTGGAAAGCATTTGCTACTTTGGTTTAAATAAATAATGGAAACAAAGAAAATAGATAGTGTTTGTGTAAGTGTCTCTTTTGATTTAAATGAAAACCACAACTGTGATTGCTTGCTGTTTATTGTTACTTTGAAAGACACATTTCTGACACACAGGAGGATTAAATGAGCAGAAAAGCAGTGTGAGAATTAGGAGCACTGGACATGGTGTGTAGCGTTCTTAATGTAAAGTATCCACGGAGGATGAAATCAGTCCTTTAAAATGGCACATGCTGCATCAGTACGAGTTGTTTTCTCTCCATTTCAAAATTGAATGCTGAATAACATAATAACATAGAACGTTGTTGCACAGCGTATAGCTAGCAAGGGTCTCTAGGTGAGATCTGGGGTAAATGAGCAATCTATTCTTCATCTGTGTCGTCCGCCGCTCCAGAAATGGTGATGGTGTGCTCCAGCGTGTCGCGCTCATAAGTGTCCTCATCTGTCTTAACTGTTCTGGGAAAAAATGGATGGAGAAATAAGAAGTTTTACCGTATCAGTAAGAGATTCTGATTGAGAACAAAATACAAATGTTTGTTATTATTATTAGTATTATTTTAGATGTACAATCCCAGATTTATTTTAATATTTTTTCGTGCAAAGGGTTATACATAAAATAGGGACAAAATAGGAATAGACAGAAACAGAAATATAGGCCAAACAAAGCATAACAAACTTGTGTGTATATTTGAAACTGTTAGAGAAGAGAGGGAAGCCTGAGCAAATACTAGTAGTAATGATATTAATGAATAATATTGATTAATAATAATGATAATGTCAGACAATAGACATTCCGTTCCAAAGTCACCCTCTACCTGATCAGGACAGTCCTCCTCTCAGACCTCTCAGTCGCCTGCTCCTCTAAGTGACTGTCTGATGAGGCCACCTCCACCCGGGCAGTAGCCGGAGCTTTCTCAGCCCCGCTACTGGTCGTGTCGCCGGAGGCCCCGTCTAGCTTTGAAGTGGCTGCAGGGGCCGAGGCATCGTGCATGCAGACACCTGAGGTGAGATGCAGTCCTCCAGTGAGGGACAGGTTTCGGACCATGGTGTCCAGACGGCTGTCTTCCACCTCAATCAGCTTCCTGACAAATGAACAGAGGGGAACGAAGTTGGAACGAATGCCGCATTGCGAATGGAAAACTACCCTGCGTGTCTTGTGTTTTCTACCAAATGTAAAACAGTCAGGTTAACATACTGTGGAAATGGCATGAAGGTACGTTTTGTTCACCTGTAGGTGGTGATCTCAATTTCCAGAGCCATCTTTACATTTAGCAGTTCCTGGTATTCCCGCAGCAGCAGAGCGATCTTCTCTTTGGTCACCTTCAGATCCAGTTTAATCGCCTCTATACGCTCCTGTTGCAAGAGAAAGAATACAACAGAATCGCTTTATTTTAAGGCGTTTGGGGCCAGAGGATGACTAGAGAAGGTCTTCATATTCACATCATGTCACCTGTAAGTCCTCCTCCTCCTCCTTGTACTTTCCCACTGCATCACGAATCTGAGCCTCCAGATACTCATTCTTTGTCTTCAGTGCCTCCAATTCACGTTCCTTGTTGAGAAGCTATACACACACACATAAACACACACACCTGTTGTATGCTAAGAAGTAGTTGTAGTCACCATAAATGAGCACAGAGCATCATACTCACATCCTTCTTATAGCCTGCGATTTCCTCTCTAATACTTCGAGTGCTTCGAACGTGTTTGGTGGAGGCGCTGCTCAGGTCCTGAAACTTTGTCCCGTACCAAGTGTCCATTTCCTGGAGAACAAACATTAACAGTGTTTCAATGTAACGACCTACCATTATTTCACAGTTCCTTAATGTGGACTGTTGAACATTAGAGATGTTGAAGTGAACATGGTTCATTTTTGCACCCTACCTGCAGGTTTTTTGCAGCAATGCTGTCATACTGAGACTGTATCAGTTTGAGAGCAGAGGAGAGGTCCGGGAGGCCAAAGGTTAGGTCCACCTTGGTGGTTGCTGAACAGATCATTTGCACCAGCTCCTCAATTTCCTTTCAGCAGACCACAAACAACCAGAGTTAGAGGATCAGTGATAGAAAGGTTCACCCCACCACTCTGCACCACTCGTCAGTCACAGCTTTCCCCTTTAGCTTCCTATGAGTCCTTCACACCATGCTGATAATTGCCACGTTTGCGGCGTTACTCACTCTATCCATCAACGAGGTCTCTTCTAAGTTTAACTTGTCGTTGCAATAATTACCAGCCCATTAAACCATTAATAATAATATGAAAGGCATGGCAGCCACCAGCCACTGACTCATACACATAGTGTGCAGTGGATGGACAGACAAGCATACATTACCTCCTTGTGAACTCTCTGAAGGAAGGCCAGCTCAATCTCCAGGTTTTCCAGCTGTTTCTCCAGCGCAAACCGTAATGAAGTTGATTTATCCACTTCCTGGGACATTGAAACACATCTGGTTTGAATGGTTTTGTGAAAGGAAGCCAGTTCTGTTCACAAGCCTTGTAAATGAATTTAAAGCTTTTAATTTTCACTATAAGATTCTTACCGGACGGAGATTCTCAATATCATGCTCCGCCTTTTTCCGGGCATTCACAGCCTCATCGTATTTGGCCTTCAGCATCTCAAACTGGCCCAACATCGCCTCCTTGGCTGCCAAAGACATATCCTACAAATAATGCAGATAATGGGGTGAAAATGAGCTCCAATGTTACCAAACCTGGCTTCTGCAATAATCACATCAAACCATGATCTAAATATGTTTCAGTCAGGAGATGTGACCTCCCTCACCCTCTGGATTCTTATTCTCTCTGCGTCCCTGTTGAGCTCCTTCAGCTGGGACTCATACAGCTGCCTGAGGCCTGATGGTCTCACATGGCGGCTCTTCAGGGCCTCAATCTCAACTTCCAGCAGCTTGTTTTTTGACTCCAGGTTTCGCACCTACAAGAAGAAATGCCAGAGACATAGACATACCGGATGATTACAAGTTTAATTAATGTACAAAAACAAAGTCAGTACAGTATTTTTGTGCATGTGTTGCATTTTTTATAGTGCCTTATGTGAGAATAATTGAAGAAAGAGTTCAGGGTGGAAAACACCATCAAGAAGTCAGATTGCAAAGTTCACGTCAAGAAATTAATATGATGATTTCCGTGGCATTTAAGGAGTGAAACAAGAGCACATGTGTGTCTGTTTGCAGTTGGTTCTCTCACCTTTTCAATATACACTGCCAGGCGGTCGTTGAGTGCTACCATCTCCTGCCTCTCAGTGGTGCGGGTCGTCATAAAGGCCTGGTTCTCTGCTGCAGCCGCATCCAGGTCCAGTTTTGGCCCTAGCCCCATGGACATGCCAAAGCACAGCGCTCCCATACTCGCACTGCTGCAGACGGGACCGGAAATGAGTTTCAACTTGAATAATAAATTTGATTCATTTCATTTTATGGATGTTTTTATTTTGACACATTAATTAATTACGACTGAGTGTAAGTCAACATAATCAGTGAAGTAAAGTAACTAAGTACTAAGTATGAGGTATACTTGTACTTTACTTTATACTTCTACTCCACTGCATTTCACAGGGAAGTATTGTACTTTTTACTCCACTACCTTTATTTGATACATTTAGTTACCAGTTTACTTTGCAGATTAAGAGCATAGTAATACAAAGTATAATCAAAAATACATTATGATGTTTTTTTTTTTTGTATTTTTGATAAAGATAAGACTTAATTGAAACCTTGGTTGAATTCAAAAGCTCCCTGGCATATAGTAATAAATAAGCCAGACCTTTACCAGCTGCTACAATAAAGTATCATAAACAATAATATATTGATACTCATAATTCAAAATTATAATATGCACTATTCTGAAATGGACTGTAAATTACTTTACTTTTGGCACTTTAATTTTGATGCCAATACTTTTGTATTTCAACTTAATTAAAAGATCTGATATTACCCTGGAGGTGACTCACCTGTTCATGCAAGCCTTGTTTGAGATGGCTCTGCGGCCCATCGTCCCACTCCGGGTGAAACTGGCCGACCGGTGGCGGGTCCCCCTTCGGGTGGGAGAGCGACTGGACACCCGGAGCTGGTAGGCAGGAGGGGCAGCCAGGGTCCCCTCGAAATGCCGGCGGTATGAAGACATCTTCTCTGGACTGCGGCTCATGTTGACGCTCCTGTCAGTTCTGTATTAACTTTAACTGGGGGACTGGAAACTGGTCACTCGCACCTTTTGGTCTGTGGTGGGGTCTTTATATAGGCTAACGTTACCAGCCCTTCCCTAAACACTACACAGGAATGTTGAACCTTCCCAACCCAAGAATGAATGTCCCTACAAACATTTATCAAGGTTGCGTGAATTTATTTATTACAGACGACAGAAATAATCTTAATTTTATTATCTGATGACTAACATGCATAGGAATGTGCGTGCCCACATTTACTGGACATATTAAAATAAATTAACTTTTTTTAAATAGAAATGATATATATATATATATATATATATATA